CGAGCCTGGAGAGATCGCCGACATTGCGCAGAACCGGTAGTCGGCGGTGCACATCGCTTGCACGTTGATGCCGTACGCGGACTTGCTGCCAGAGTAGCACGCGATGACATTTTTGGTCTCTTTCGCACGCGGAGCCTCGGCCTTGATGAACAGACCATCCACGGCGGCGACGACCCACGAAAAAATGCCATCGGTGCTCTTGTCCTGCATTTGTAGACGGCAGACACGACGGCGGGAAAGTAGTACCGGGAGAGACAAAATAATAAGTCGAGAGATACGTCGTGTGGGTTGGTGTCATCAGCGACGGCGCCATCACTAGCATCGAACGGAGCGCATACCGTGTAAGCTGAGACTTGATGTTGTTTGCTGATGCTAATGTCGCGTCAGGTACAGCGGTAAAAAGGTACCAGGGCATCTTAGAGACGAAGGGGACTGCAGTACATTGATTCCACACTCTTGTCTCGCAGAAAGCTGTTGCGGGGCCGAACCAACATGATCAGCATACACAATTGATGACAGTATAGTAGCACCTATTTGAAAAAGGATGCCAAAAGCTGGCGAACCACCTGGGATCCCGGGGGTGTTTTTCGATTCGAAGCATGCTGACAACGACGACAATCCGAACTTGTACCCGCATTTTACCGACGGGGGCCGCGTACTATAGATGGGCCTCATTCCACGGATAAAACGGCTGGAAACGCCAGTCGTACAAAACAAAAAAGAACGATATCGCGCGGTTGGTCGAAAAAATGCCGCCAAGAACGACCCTCACAGCAGCAGTACTGACCACCGCTACGCCTCACCTTGAATCTGTTGGCGTTTCGCATACAGCCTTCCTCGGTCAGGGGGAAGTCAAATGCCCCAACCGCAGGCGTGTTGTTGATGGCATCGATCACCTCCCACAAGATCTGGTATGTGACCGCCACCGACAAGCCAAACATGACTAGGACATCCATCCCAGTAACTGGCGCCAGCCAGAATCCTCAACGCCACGGCAACGCGAACTTCCACAGATATGGCGCCGTTGCGTGGCGATCGCAGTGCTGTGGGGTTTCAGAGCGACGCGCAGATAATTTTTGCAGGTCATACGAGTGTCAGAGGTGGTATGTTTTCAATCGCCAGCACCTAATTAGCAACCTATGACGGGGGACGCACGTTCTGCACAAACTTGTCAGATTGCCGGCCCAGTCCACCTCCCGACTACGGTACTGAGACGGCTCTGTGTTAATCACCTACACACACGATATCTTGCACATGAAGAGCAGTGTCGAATGCTGTTGTGTCATTGCGGGGAATACGAAATTTTGCATTGGCTCCCGACGAGGCATGTATTTTGTTTTATTACTGCTTTACGGTAGTCAGCGTCGCAAATAGTAGTACCTAAGCGTTGTTCTCATACAATGACTGCTGCTGTACAATATGCATACTAGACTACAGCGGTACTGCCGTAGACGAGATATGCTGCGGCACTGCTGTATGTTCCTGCATGTACTGCTACTTCGACGAGCTAGTTTTGATTTTTGAAAAAGACAGCAGGAACATACAGCAGTACAGTATTCTACAGCTGTAATATCGTTTCTCCCTTGGTTTTGAGTTGCTCGTCCATGGTTGTACACACATATATATATATGTACGCCAGAGGGAGCCTTACGCATACGTGCCGTGGGCGGCTGCATCATCTACACATCAACACTCACCGCCGAAGAAGGCGTTGACTTCGAGCGAAGGGCGGAGCAGCTCGACGAGCTTGTGGAAACTGCCTTTCTCCATGCGGTACGACCGCCGCCAGCCGCGCCGTTTATCGAGGTCTGCCTCGTGTTGGGCCCACGGAAGTCGCTTGGGCTCGTAGATGGGCTCCCGTTCCTGAGGGCAGTGGGCTCGATGAGCTTCTCCTGCTGCCACCACGCCCGCCGCCACTACTACGGCCCTCAGAGACCCAGGACCGTGAATCTCTTGTCTTCCTGGGCTGCATTCTCCTCGTCGATAGCTCGTCGACGGCGCTTCTCCCAGCGTTGCGCTGCGGGGTCTGTGGGATCCTGGCGCTTCCCGCGCTCAGCCATGGTGGTCGACTTGCCGTGGGAAGCTTTTTGGGGTGTTGTGGGTGCTGTCTAGGTGTGGTGTGATGAAGGCAGCACGCGTGACCGGTGTCTGCTTCGGCTGCCCGGAAAAAGCGGGGCGTTTTTCCCCGGAACCGTGAAAGGACCAAGCCCCAAAAAATCCCGGCTTCCTCTTTTCACGTTTTCGGGGAAAAACGCCTCCATATGTGTTCAAGAAAAAACGGTTCCGTGAAATATTCCGTGTTTTCTCGGTCGATAAGAACCACCCTTATTTCCATCGTTGGCCACGAAGTCCCGCTACGTGTGCTCAAGAATCAATCGTTATCGACCTACTAGACTATGCATATGGGAACAAAATCAGAACAAGCCTCGGTTCGTGGGACCACTGCTGTGTCGCGATTCGAACTCACGCCGAGACGTCAGAACTCTGCGAGGTTACCAACTGCACCACTGATGATGTGATAAGCGTCAGTCAGGCGCTAGTACCAATTCGGGTCTGGAAAACGGTTAAATACCAGCGACACCGTCCTCTTGCTCCTGTGTTGTGTATCGTGTTCTCCTTGGAGAGTCTCCCAGCGTTGCAAGTGTGAATTAAGAAAGCGTTACTTGGACAGCTTAGGCACCCACAAGAAAACAGGAGATGGATAATACACACTTCCTCCGACTCTAAATATAAGGGCGGTTTGGAAAATTCATAATATAAGGGCGGTTCGAGGGTTACTGGCAGAAACGTGCCATTTGGGCAAGGTGGACCTCGGATATCTTTGGCATACGATAGGATATCGCATTGGAGAGAGAGAGAAAAAAAAAAAAGCTCGATGGGGGGGGGATGGTGCGGTGAAATCCCCTGATCGGGAAAATGGCGGAAATCTGCCGTGCCGCAGTACCCCGTCTTCGCTGCTGGCGAGAAGGTGGCGAATCACCTCTTCTCTCTCCAAAACGTTGAAATTCTTGCGTTTCGTCCCTTGAGAGGCACTCCCAGCAGCGGACATGGCTCAACAGCAGTTGGGAAGGTGTTTGACCGGAGCTACAAAGTTGGGGTGGTGAGATCGGGCGCGGTCTGCTGCTGTGGGCTGCACCTTGCTGGTGTGTGTTCAGAAATACCCCGGTTCTGCGCGCTGCGCAGCAGTGCGGTGGAACCAACCAAAAAAAACGGTTCGGGAAAAGAGTTCTGCAGGCCCGAGTGCTTTTTGTCCAAACCGCCCTTATATTTAGAATCGGCGGAAGTACTTGTCAAATGTCGATGGTGACATCATTGAAAAATCCACCTTGTAGTCAATTTCACACACACACCTTTACTGAAGGGAAGGAAGCGAAATGGTCCGAATTTTTTCGCCTTTGGCGGCTCCTCCAGCGGGCCCCGTCAGCAGCTGGGGAAAGAGCGAGCTGCGGGTTGCACAACAGCAGTGCGCGGAAAAGCGAAGGCGAGAAAAGAGTGCGGTAGAAGGGATATTATTAATTACCAACCAATCACGGACCATTCCACGGAATCACTTTTTCTTGAACATATATGGAGGAGGCGTTTTTCCCCGATAATGTGAAAAGAGGGTGTTTGTGGTTGTTGTTGTTGTTGTTGTTGTTGTTGTTGTTGTTGTTGTTGTTGTTGTTGTCTTCACATTTAGAACCGTTCCGATCTCTCTCTACCCGGTACCTTCGTATGTCCGTACTGATCCAACACTAGACACAGTCGATTCCCGTGGTCGCAGGCTAGCTTGCCCTAAAAAGGTATGTTAAGAAAGCGGTCTACCCACTAGACTACTCAGTCGCGCGACTTAGTAGTCTAGTGGGTTGACCGTTTTCTTATCAAAAGATATGCTGTGTGGATTCACCGGCAGGGATCTCCGAGGTCTTACATCCCTCGCCGCGCACTCCTGAAGTGCTAGGCCCGACCAAGACTTTCTCTCAAAAGAAACGCTCCTGCCTGGATTCGAACCCACGACATAGCCTTTGCTAAGAACGCGGTCTACCCACTAGACTACTAAGTCGCGCGCGCGGCTGCCAAGAAGAAGGCACGAGAGGGCGACCTATCGTTCGGCACGTTCAACGTACGCACGCTCGCCTACAGCGGTAGGAACCCCATCGGTCACAACGTGATGACGGTCATGCAGATTTGTTCCGCGACCGGCTGTGATGTGATAAAACCTCAGGAGACCCGACGAGAGGGGCAAGGTTCAATTGCACACAACGGGTACGTGATCATCTGGAGTGGCGCACGTGCTGGCACCACNCGTGATGACGGTCATGCAGATTTGTTCCGCGACCGGCTGTGATGTGATAAAACCTCAGGAGACCCGACGAGAGGGGCAAGGTTCAATTGCACACGACGGGTACGTGATCATCTGGAGTGGCGCCCGTGCTGGCACCAAGGACAAGAGGGGCGTACACGGTGTGGGCATAGCGATCAAGGAGGCCATGTGGGAGAGTGTGGGCGAGGAAGGTAGGACGGTGGAGTGCATTAGCCCGAG